AGAAAGGTTCTTGAAACTGTCTTGCCTCCCTATCAGAGTATGAGGGACAATCCTCCGGGCCAGCCCGTCAGCCCTCCAAGATGGGGTTGCAGGGCAGTTCCCTGAGTACCCAACTAGCCGGGAAAAGCCACGACGCTTGGAGCGTGTCCAAAAACAAGCGGCACAACCCAGATGCTATCCTTCAATAAATCGGTGGTACAAACTAGGCTGAATATCCTGTGACTGCTTTACCTTTGTGTTTGCTACAAATGGATGTAAAATCTGGACCTCACATCTGAAAACTTCGTCTTCAGCCTGGCAGGCCCTGCCTAAGGGTCAGCTGCCGGCAATGGAGAACTCTGGGAGCACAGTAGGGCTGACCTACCTGACTCAGTTTCCCCCTGTATAACAGGAACAGTTAATGCCTAGCACTCTGCGCTGTGAGCTCATGTGGCCTGGCTGGAGCTGCCACTAGGGCCCAGGCTCCTGTGTGTTCCTGTCCTGAGGTACATTTCATGGCCAAGCATTTCCAAGTGCCGCACCCAGAACAGTGGCCTCTGGAGAGCGTTGGGGGCAGAAGTCATTAGAATCCTATTACCTCACCTGTTCCCTGCCACCTTGGTGCCTCAGGAGAGAGGTGCCACTTTGTGCCTACTGTGCCCTAACCAGAAGCCTGTGACTGTTGGCAAGGACTCTGGTTGCTGAGTTGTTCGGCCAGACACCCTGGGCAGTCCAGGCTCTTTGTGGGTGTGTGGGGCAGGGGCGAGGGGTGACATGGGAGCCCCTCAGAGCTACAGGGGGTTGCTTCCAGCTCCACCTTCCACGGATGCTGGTCCTTTCAAGTTAAGTCAAAGCGCACCTCCTGAGAACCATGAAGGTTGCCTGAGAATGGGGTGGGCCCTGCCCTGGGCAGGACCTGGTGCCAGGAAGGCCAGAGCCTCCTGGGAGGGAGAGCCTCCCCGGGGCAGGAGCCCCGGCCCCTGTGTGGAGTCGAGGTCCCTGGGCCACAAGTCCTGCCTTTCCCCTCCAAGAACGGAGGGTCTTGGTTGGGCGGGGGGGGGGGGGGACTGCAGAGGACTGCTGTGGGTGATGTGCGACTGAATAAAGCTATCTTGGGCAAGCAGAGTTGGACCCTCCGTTCAGTCTGAAGAGCAGTGTTGGTGTCTGAGCAATGCGGGCCTTGCCTGTGCTCCCCAGGTCTGCATCCCATGCTTATCATCCATCCCGGGCTGGGTGGTGATGGAATTGGGATGGGCCGGCCAGTCCCAGGGGAGGGCAAGTTTCCCCTGTGGTCCCAAGAAGGACTCCAAGGTGCAGGCCTTTTGACACTGACACGTCCCAGCACTGTTAGTTTAAGTGTGGAGGTTTCCAGAAGATTCTGGGGGCTCCTGTACCTACTGGATGGAGTCCCAAAGGCTCCTTTGGAGCACCGGGAGCTCCCAGTGTTGGGGGGTGCTTTTCAGGGCTGGGCACACAGGGACCTGAACTGGCCCTGCTGCCCCTAGCAGGCTCCCAAGAGGTTCTGCAGCCCCCGGGCTACTGCTAACAGGTCAAGTGGCCAATACTAGTGTCTCTCCTAACCTAAAGGCTGGTGCAAGAGCTAGGAAAACCCTGTCCATCCCCGTAGGTCCTCTCCCCATCCCACAGCTACTGGCCTGGACCACCCTCCTCACCCCTACATGGAGCTTCCATTCTTCTGCCCTCCCACTCTGAGTGGTCCCTCCACATCCATTCTCCACTCTGCAGTCACGCCTGCCCACCCACCAGAACTGGCTTCAGCTTCCAGAGGGAAAACTGAGGCTCAGGTTAGCAACTTGCCCAATGGCACCATTTGGAAGAGGGCTGGGCCTGCCTCAGAACTTGGGTCTCCACAACTCCAGTGCCCGTGCGGCTGACCATGCCCTACCTCTGGCCACTGAGAGGCCCTGAGCAGCCACTGACCTCAGGACTTCAGGAGGTAGGACAGGGGCCTGGATCCCGGTGCCCAGTGGTCCCTCGTGAGAATGGAATGCTCTAGCTCAGCTGTAGGGCCCCCACAACAAAGAGCCCATCCTGACACTGAGCCACCTTTTCAAGCTTGAGGTTCCCTCCTGAATTCTTTCCTCTCTCCAGTGAGACCCCCCAGAGGCAAGAGTGCTAGGGTTTCTGCGCCAAGAGCTTGGGGGTATCTGCACCATAGAATCTCAGCCACCTCCAAGTTTCTACCATGTGCCTGGCTGCCCTCAGCCCAAGGCAGGGAGAGGCCTCTGAACTGCACCGCTCCCCTGCCGCTCACCCTCCGGATACCTCCTCACTTATGTGAGCCTCCTGTGGCTGCTGGGACAAACCACCATAAACTTTGTGGATTAAAAGACACATTTATTCTTTGACAGTTTTGGGGTCAGGAGTCCGACATGGGCCTCACGGGGCTAAACCCAGGGGTGGGCAGGGCTGGTCATTCCAGAGGTTCTAGTGGAGATTTGCTTCCCGCCTTTTCCAACTTCTAGAGGCACCACATCCCTGGCTCATGGCCCCTTCCTCCGTCTTTACAGCCAGCAGCGCAGCCTCTTCCATCTGATTCTGACCCGCCTGTCTCTTTTAAGGACCCTGGGTCTTATAAGGACCCCCGGGAGAATCCAAGGTAATGCCATCTCAGGGCCCTGGATCCCATCCTTGCCAAGTGAGGTGACATGTCTGCAGATCCCATGGATTAGGGTTGAGTGTCTTGAGGGGGGCACTATTTAGCCCACCACAGATGAGACACCCCAACTCAACTTCTGTTACTCAGTTCTTCCTGCCTACACAGTAAAAACTACAAATCAACAAGTCTATTAGTGTGCAAGCAAAGTTTATTAGTGGTAAGTTCTCATGGAAGAGAATGGGCCTTGCTGAGGTGGGGGTGAAAGGTATAGGCTTGGGCAGCAAAAAGCAAGGGTGGAAAAAGCATTGGGTCCTGTGTCCTGAGAACTTACATAGTTGTGGGATGGGTGAGGGAGTTGTATATTGGTGGGAAAAGGTGGTGTCAGCTTCCATTGGGGGAACATGACTACCCAAACATAGGTATGTATGGGGGTCTGTTAGCCCAGAATTCTCAGTTTTGCTCCAGACCACATTTGGTCATCTTGTAAAACAGACACATGACAGGAGGCAGTTGATTAAAATTAAGGCAGTTACCCAAAGTTATTTATGGGCTCTTTCTATAAGGACTCCTCATAAAACAGATAGTGACCAGAGACAGGCAATTAACCAGTTATTTTATGGGCTGCTTCTTTGGGCACTGTGGACCTCTTCCTCTTCCCCATTCTAGACCTTGGGATGAATACAGTTTCAAAGGCTTTCTTTCCCAGATAGTGGGAATGATACATCCAAAATTTAAAGGGCTTCCCATCTCCTGTGCTAACGCAGTGTTTCTTGCGATGTTTGGAGTACCTGGCAATCTTATTGGACCAGGCTCGGGACTGCAGTTAATGGGTGAGACAGGTCTCCCTCCTCCTCCCTGCTTTGGTTTACTATCCATCCTCCCTAACACTTCCCTTATCTCTGCCCCACCTTGGAACTTGAACACCATTCCTACCTTCTGAGTCTGAGGGAACAGTTCAAGCTCCTGGGATTACATGATCTCTGACTTCCTCCTGTCACTCACTCAGTATGCATTTATAGCAGGGCCAGCTCAGATCTGGTGCCCCCAAGACAAGAATTGGGCTGGATGTGGCCTGAGGGTCAGGAAAGACATTTTAGTGTGGGGAAGGATCAGGCACAGGGACCAAGGCAGGGGAGTGAGGGCTTTAATTCGGGAAAGGGTACCTACCAGGTAAGGCAGTAGGTGGAGAGAAGTGACCAGAGGTGGACAGTCCAGCCGTGGACAGTTTTGGCTGAGGAACTACATAGCAAGGGACAACAAGAGAGGGGCCAGTGCGTGGCAAAAGGGATCAGGCCACCCCTTCTCACTTGGAAATCTCACGCAATTGTCCTGAGGTTCCACAGCCAACCAGGGACCTAGGCGGGGTCTCTTTGAAGACTTGGGGAGGTGGTTCACAGGGTCCATCCGGCTCCCAGCCTATCTACCATGAGAGATCCCATGGGAAAAGCCGAAAGGCTCCTTCATTCCAAAGAAGCAAGGCAGCTCGAAGAAGGGCCGCGGGGACAAGGTGGCCCTGGAACTGGGCAAGCGGCGCAGCTCTGGAAGCCCACAAGACAGGGCGCCAGGTACTCGAGAAGACGGAGGATATTCACCTCCGAGGGCTCTGGCCGGTGGAAACCAGCCCAAGCCAGGAAGCACCGCCCACGTGGCGCGATCTCTGATTCCGCCAGTCTGTGCTGGGGGAGGTGGGTGCCCGTGACCTCCCCAGGGGCCCACGAGCGCCAGGTACGTGCAGGAACAGGGGACAGAAGTCCGAAGGCCGGCCGGGTCGCGAGAAGCCTTGTGGGAGGGACCCTGGCCCTGGGGCAGGGACACGGACGAAGTGCCTTGGGGCACAGAGGGGCCCCTGGAAAGGGAAAGGCGGGCGAGCACCAATCCCGGGGAGCCGCGGGAACCTACCTGCAGCCACGCCCGCACCTGCAAGCGCGCTGGACTCACCCCAGCGCCCGCGGCACGAGTGGCCAGCGCCCATGTGACCGCGCCCCGCCCCGCCCCGCGCGTGCGCCCTGATCGGCGCCCCATTGTTGGCCGCGCGCGCGTCACGGGGGCGGGGCCGGGGCGGGGCGGGCGGCTGGAGGGAGGGTGGTGGGAGGGCGGGAGGGAAGGAGCGTCCGCGCCGCCGCCGCCGACGCCGCCGAGAACCCAGCCGCCGCCGCCGCCGCCGCCGCCGCCGCCGCCGCCGCTGCCGCCTAAGAGCGAGCAGAGTCGCGCCGCCGCCGCGCCTCCCGCGGCCCCGAGCAGCCCCGCGCCGCCGCGCCCCCGCCGCTCCCGCCCCGCCGCTGGATGCCGGCGGCCGGCGGCCGAGCTCTCAGAGGCGGAGGGCGGCGGCGCGGGCGGCGGCGGCGGCGGCGCGGGCGGCCGGCGGCCCAGAGGCAGGGGCGCGGGCCCGAGCGCTAGCGCCATGTCCGGCTCCATCGGCCAGCCCGACGGCGGTGGGGGCACGGGCGGCGGCGGGCTCGGGGCGGCGGCGGGCGGGGACCCCAGCCCGGGTTCCCCGCCGCCGCCCGCGCCCGAGGCCGCCGAGGAGGCCGCTCCCGCGCCCCGGCCGCCGCCCGAGCCCGACGACGCGGCCGCTGCGCTGCGCCTGGCGCTGAACCAGCTCTCGGTGCTGGGGCTGGGGGGCGCGGGCGACCAGGACGAGGAGGGGGCTGTCGCGGGCGGCGGGGATGGCGTGGCAGCTGCTCGGGGAGCGGACGGTGGGGCCGCAGCGGAGCCTACGCCCCCCGACGGGCCCGAGGTGGGCGCGCCCGTGGTGGCCGTGGCCCCCGGCCCGCTGCCGCTGCTGGAGCCCGACGTGAGCCCCCCACCGCCGCCGCCCCGGCCGTCACCGCCCGATGTGTTCGCGGGTTTCGCGTCCCACCCCGCAGCCCTGGGCCCCCCGACGCTGCTAGCTGAGCAGATGAGCGTGATTGGCAGCCGCAAGAAGAGCGTGAATATGACCGAGTGCGTGCCCGTACCCAGCTCCGAGCACGTCGCCGAGATCGTGGGTCGCCAGGGTGAGTGGCCGCCGTCGGGGGCGCAGCCCCAGGGGTCCCTGCGCTGCTGCTCCAGGGACAGGGCCGTCCCAGTCCAGCCCCGCGGCCGCACGCCAGACCCAGGCCACGCCCCGCGTGGGCTCCGGCCTCAGTGGCCGCCTGTGCCTGCCTTTGTCCTGCGTTCAGCCGCCAGAGAAAGTTGGGCGCAGCCCGCGCTCAGGGCCCGCCGCTGCCTTTGTCTGGGCGTCTCCATTCCGGAATGTCCCCTGTGTGCAGCGCCGCTGCCCAGGCCCTGGGCTGTGCCATCGTGGGGATCAGGGGCCCAGCTGGGTGGTGGGCTCTCCACACCGAAAACAGGCATAGGGCGGGCCAACTCGGGTTGAGGGGGTTGGCGGGCGCTCAGGTAGTATCATGAGCGAAGTTTGGCTGCACAAAGAGAGTACATCACAATTTGCCAGATTGGGAACCCTGCTGGTGGTGGTGGACAAGACAGGATGAGAGAGGGTCCCACCCTGCTCTCAGCACGAGTCAGGAATTTGGGGGCATGTGGAAGGACCAATTGTAAAAGCGGTTCCTGGGGTCCAACCCTATGGCCGTGGCTTGGCATGTGGGCGGCAACAGGCCCTGGAGTATGGGGGTCCCCTCAGTGGCATTGCTGGAGTGTCCCTGTGGCCACCCCATTGTTCTCTTTGTTAGAGAGCCAGGCTGAGATTTGCAGTGTGACATCAGGCTGGCCGCCGCTCATTGGCCCTGGAGCTGTGGGGCGGGCAGAGGGTGGTGGGCAGTGCCCACATACCCACCCACCCTGTTAGCTGCCTGCCCACCGCCTCAACTTTCTCCTGCCTTCCTACCCACACCTCCCTCCTCCTTGCTGGCCTCCTGTGGTCAGCCAGGTTCTAGAACTTGGGGTGGGGCCTGGGCGGGGCTTTAGGTGGGGCCAAAGGACACTCAGGCTGGGGTGGGTCCCAGCCTCTGGGCCCTCAGGAACAGGAGCCAGAGTAGAGTGTGTGTGTGTGTGTGTGTGTGTGTGTGTGTGTGTGTTGGGGGGGACCTGAATTATAAGATGACCTGTTAACTTCACTGCCGCCACAGCAGAGAGCAACAGGGATGCTCTGGACATAGCTCTCTGCTTGTTCTGGGTTGGTGGGGTAGCTTGGCCAGCAAACCCTCCGGTCATTCATTTGTCCTTTCTACATGTGGACACAAGGTGGGCCAGGTGTGGTGCTGACCCTGGGAGCCGACTGCCGCCAGGGGCAAGCATGGCTAAACTCAAGCGGGACAGTCCCTCTTCACCACCCTGTTGCCACCTTCCTATGTAGGCTCCCCCGCCCCCGTCCCTCAAAACTGCACTGGGACATGTAATGAGATAGTTGCCATGTATTGAGTATCCAGAAGCCTGCTGGTGGGCAAGCATGAATACCGATGCATGGGGGCCATTTGCCCAAAATAACTAGGCTGATCTGTTGTGCAGTGGAGCATGAGGGCATGTTCTGTATGAATTATGTGTGTTCTGGCACCTGAGGGTCTTTCCAGAAAAGCCTCATGCTTCATTGTATGTCGTATGGGTGGTAATGGGAATCAGGCAGGGGGCATGCCAACCTGTAGCCTCGGGCTGAGTGGTGTGGAGGAGTGAGCCTGGGGCCCCAGGCTTCATCTGACCTCCTGGGTGTGCATTTGGTACCTGGTTATTGTGTGCCAGCCTGTATCCTTGGTGGTTGTGGACAGCAAAGCATACTCTAAGCAATATGGTAGACCCTCTAGTCTGGGCTGGCCCTGTGACCCTGAGTGAATAAGAGCCTCTCTCTGTAATGGGGGGGACAGCACCTCCTTCAGGGTTTTTGTGTGGATTCTTAAGGCTGGCACCCAGTAGCCACCCACAGTTGGGATGCAGGGTACCAGAGGAGGAACATGGATGCCAGGACAGGTGTACTGCCCCAGCCCCAGACCTGTCTGTGGCGCCCCTCCTTCCCTGTGCGGTTCTCAAGCACGCCCTGGAAGACTGCCCCAGCTCCACTCCTTTCCCTCTTCCTATTACCTACCCACTCTCCGCCCTGTGGGCCCCTGGCCACCAAGCCTGCCCCTTCTTACTGCTCAGGCTCTCCCTGATGCAGGGAGCACAACCTGCCCTCAGTTATTCATCCTGTTCTGTCAAATCCCACGTCCAGGACTACCCCTCCCCGAGAAGGCACAAGTGGAAGAGGCTGCCGGGGGCAGGGCAGGGCTGGGATTTGAACCCTGGTTCTCACCGGCTCTGCCTGCCCTGCGGGGAGCAGCAGTGGGCCATAGTGAGGGGCTGGCAGTGAGAGGTGGCGCCATTCTACAGACACGAAATGTAGGGACTGGAGAGGATGTGAAATGTGCCACTCCCTCCAGCCGGTTAGCGTAGGCCAGCGGGGAGGCTGCTGAACGCTGGCTGTGAGAGTGACCTTGGGCCCAAACCTTCCTCCTTGCCATTGATGCCCTGCGCCCAGAACGCGTCTGTGTCCATGTCTGTGACCAGTGCAGAGTGTGGTCACGTTGGGCCTTCAGCACCGTCAGGAATGGGTGAATGAAAGATGTCGAAGGCAGCCCCTAGGTCCCCTTCATTTCTGCTTTTGTCAGGCCGAGGACAGTGGCCTGGGACTGCCCCCCTATTGTCAGTTCTTCTCTGCTCCTGGGCCTGGCCCCAAACCTACAGGCATCACGTGCTCTTTCTAGCGGCCAGGGACACTGCTGGGGTGTGGGGTCCATGCCTTGGTGTTCCTGTGTGTCCGTCGTGGGGTGTAGAAAGAAAGGGGTTCCCGCGACTGGGTTGAGGGCTTCTTACGTTGGTAAGTGTAGACCTGTCTTGCTTGGGGAGCTTTCCACGTTCCTGTGTCAGAGACAAGCCAGCTTCCCCCAGACCGCCCTGCTGTGATGTGCCCCGCCCAGGGCTGCAGCCCACTTTGGTCCTGTTTGAGGGACCTTGTCCTAGCCCTGTCTCATTTCCACAGCTCTGCCCCTGCTGTCCTCTCCCCTGGAGCGTTCCCCTGCCCTTGTCTTCCTTCCCCGCATAGCCTTGAGGTTTGGTTGGTAAGTGTAGCCTGTGGTCACCCGTGGGGCCTGGTTCTGAGTGCTCAACACACGGGGGTGGTCAGAGCCCCAGAATGGGGTCATGTGAGTGATTGGAGGCAAGGGGCTGCCCCCATCTCCAAGGCTTTCCTGGAGACCCTCAGCCTCCCTACTTTGAGGGGAGGGTCTGGCCGTGGTGAAGTGGGGGTTGCCAGGGCCTGAGGCGGGACAGCGTCAGCCTGGAGGGCTGTGGCCACGTCCCTGAGCACACTCGGCTCTCTGAACCGGCACCGGGGGCACTGCCCAGGGATCTGCATTTCAGCCTGTGCCCACCTGTCAGTGGTGGCCCCCAGAGTTCCCTAGACATGGGCTCAGCCCCTGGTCACCACCCACTCTCACTGTACTGTGTCATCCCCACTGGGGCAGGGTATGGCCCAGGTCACGCGTGGATCCCTGATTTCCTGGACTGGGCAGTCCCACCCTCCTAAGTTTTGCCCCCTCTCAGAGCCTGGACATGGGTTGGGTTTGGGGGCCAACAGGTGTCACAGCTGTGCAGTCAGTAAATTGGGCTCCTCCTGGCCACTAAGGGCTCCACCCAGGGCCACCCCAGAGGAAGCTGCATGGTCCCTGCCATGCCCTGACCCACCTGCGGGGCCCATCACCTTGGAGTTTCACAGCATGACCAGCTCCATGCTCTGGCAAAGGCCTGGGCTGCTTCATCTGTACAAAGGATCAGTGGCAGGAAGGGGGCACCTGTGGCTTGCATCGCCGACCCCATCTTTGGCAAATCCCCTGCCCTTTCTCCAGGCCCCCTCGTATCCCTCTCCTCCACTGTATGTCTGCTAGAAGCAAACATTTTGGGGGCAGGGTATCTGCCTGTAGCCACAGCCCATGAGGTCCAGCCCCAAATCTGTGAGGCTGGGTGTTTCAGCCCTCCTCTGTGGATGAGGAAGTTGAGGCACAGGAAGGTTCCCTCAAGGGCCCAGGGTAATTCCCAGTTTACCAGCCCCTAGCACACAGTCCCCTTGCCTCAAGGAGTTCAGAAAATCTGATGTGGGATCAGGAGAAACTCTGAAAAGTGTGTCTGAGGCCAGACCCAGTCATTGGGCTTCTCAGAGGAGAGGGTAACAGGCTGCAATTTGTTGCAGAGAAGGGAGAGAGCTTGGGATGAGGGTGGTGAGGACAGTGTTTTGAGTGGAAAAGGTCATGTGGGGAGACAGCATGGCCAGGACAGAGGGAATTTGCCAAGTATGGAGGGGACCATCACAGCAGGAGTGGAGGCAGCCACAGATCAGGGTGACTTTGGGAGGCCCGAGTGGGTTTAGAAGGTGCTGTTGAGGTGCCACAGCTGTGGGGGAGAGAGTGGCTGAGGATCAGGGAGGTGGTAGGAAGGCGACCCCTCACTCGGAGGTTTCTGACCCCAATTTACACTCCCAGGTTTTGTTTAAAGCCCTGGGTGGCCGGGGATGGGCGGGGGGCGTGCAGGGCAGGGGCTGTTGTCTTCCTTGGGATCAGCGTGAGGCTGCCCCTGGACTGGCCATCACCTCCAGGATGAGCAGCCCCCCCAGGCCTCCCCCCTGGTCTCCTTGATTTCCTCCAGGGCAGAAGTACCCATCCTGCTAACTTTGTATCATCCGCTGTTGTGAAGTTTGCAACACTGTTCCTCTTCTCAGTGCCTCCTTTGTATTGAGACAATATCCCTGTGTCCCCCGCTAGCTTCCCCAGAGCCTCAAGTGGGGGTTCTCCCAGACTCCTAGGCCTGGACTCAAGGTGTCTCAGAAGGCCCTGGGGGTGTGGGTATCAGGGACCTGGGCAGCACCCCTGTCAGAGGTTCAATTGAACAACTGACCTTGCTCCTCCACTGGGTGGGACCCCCAACTCAGCTCAGACACAGTGCCCTGTCCCCAAGTATCCCTGAGCATTTCTCAGAGGCCAGGACCTCTGAGGTGTCCTGAGTTCAGGCACAGGAGTTTACATTGGGCTGAGACTTTGGCTTCCCTTGGGCTGGGAATGTCACTTGGCTGGAAGAAAAAAGCAAGTGGCTTACACAGTCTGAGCCTCCGTTTCCCCACCTGTCAGATGAAGAGTTGGTGTCAGAGGGTCTGCGTTTGTGTCCTAGGACTGACATAATGAACTGAATAGCTTGAAACAATAGAAATTAATTCTCTCACAGTTCCCGAGGGCGAGAATCTGAAATCAAGGTGTTGGCAGGGCTGCGCTCCCTCCAAAGGCTCTAGGGGACAGTCTGTCCTATGCTTTCTCCCAGCTTCTGGTGGCTGCCAGCAGTGCTTGGTGTCCCTTGGCTTGTAGCCACATCACTGCAACTCCTGCCTCTCGTCACATGGCCGTCTCCTCTGTGTGTCCCTCCTCTTGCATTCAGGGCCCACCCAGCCCCAGTATGACCTCATCCTAATTACATCTGTAGAGGCCCTATTTCCAGATGAGAGCCATTCTGATGTTCTGGGTGGACATGAATTTTGGGAGACCCTATTCAACCCACAACAGAGTCCTTGCCTCCTTTTTCCCAACCCCAGGGGTATCCAGGAACTGAGGTCCAGGGGTTGGAGGATAGGATGTGGTGTGTCTGAGATTAAATCCTGCAGGGATTAAATCCCACAGGTGGGGGGTCGAAGCTGGGTAGCCCCTACAGTTGCTGCTGGAGGAGGGACTATCCTGGGGGGAGGGGGGGTCACGTCCTCACCATGTTCCCCTCCCCCATCTCCAGGGTGCAAGATCAAGGCTCTGCGCGCGAAGACGAACACATACATCAAGACCCCGGTGCGCGGAGAGGAGCCTGTCTTCATTGTGACCGGCCGCCAGGAGGACGTGGAGATGGCCAAGCGTGAAATCCTGTCTGCGGCAGAGCACTTCTCTGTGATTCGTGCTACACGCAGCAAGGCAGGTGGGCTGCCTGGCACCGGGCAAGGCCCACCCAACCTGCCAGGACAGACCACCATCCAAGTACGCGTGCCCTATCGCGTGGTGGGGCTGGTAGTGGGGCCCAAGGGTGCTACCATCAAGCGCATCCAGCAGCGGACGCACACATACATCGTGACACCCGGACGTGACAAGGAGCCGGTATTCGCTGTGACAGGCATGCCTGAGAACGTGGACCGGGCGCGCGAGGAGATTGAGGCTCACATCACGCTGCGCACTGGTGCATTCACTGATGCTGGCCCTGACAGTGACTTCCATGCCAATGGCACGGACGTCTGCCTGGACCTGCTTGGGGCAGCTGCGGGCCTCTGGGCCAAGGCCCCCAACCCTGGGCGGAGGCCCCCCTTGCCCACCGCCAGCCTCCGTGGGGACAGTACCCTAGGCGCCCCAGGGGGGCCTGAGGCCTTCTACCCAGGCAGCCGCGGGGGACCACCAGTGCCAGACACGGGCCCCGCCAGCCCCTATGGCGGCTCAGGCAATGGGGGCTTCACCTTCGGCGGGGACGGCCCAGGGGCCCCCACGGGGCCACCTGCCCCCGAGGACTGCGATTTCGGCTTTGACTTCCTGGCGCTGGACTTAACAGTGCCTGCAGCAGCCACCATCTGGGCCCCCTTTGAGCGCACTGCGCCCATGCCGGCCTTCAGCAGCTGCTCTGCCGTCAATGGAGCCCCTGTGCCACCTGCTCCGGGTGTCCGGCGCAGCAGCGGGGCTGGTACCCCGCGACACTCCCCCACGCTGCCTGAACCTGGTGGCCTGGGCCTGGAGCTCCCAATGGCCCGCCGCGGGCCCCCTGACCCAGTGGGCGCCCTGCCCTGGCGGCCCCCACAGGGCTCCCTGTCATCTTTCCCAAGTAGCAGCAGCTTCTCCACGGCCACCTCACTGCCCAGCAGCTCCTCAGCCTCCTCGTGCTCCCCCCTGGACTCAAGCACCTCGGAAAGCAGCCGCAAGCCCTCAGCCACAGCGTCCTCGGGGTCCGGAGCGCCCGTGGCCTCCACCGCCCCTGGCCCAGCGCTGGTACGGGAGTGTGTGGTGTGCGCAGAGGGCGAGGTGATGGCTGCGCTAGTGCCCTGCGGCCACAACCTCTTCTGCATGGACTGTGCCGTGCGCATCTGTGGCAAGAGCGAGCCTGAGTGCCCTGCCTGCCGTACGCCCGCCACCCAGGCCATTCATATCTTTTCCTAACGAGTCACCTCGCCGCACCTGCGGCCACGGGGCCATCTGTAGGAGCCTGGAGTGGGCATGTGCTCTAGGCCGGGGTGGGGGAAGAGAGGGATGATGGGCAGGGAGGGTAGAGGGGCAGGCCAGGGGAAGAGGGGTCAGGGGGCAGTGTGGCCAGTGTTTACAGACGAGCTTTAACTCCAGTCCCAGGCATGGAGACGGCGACCCAGCAGCCCAGTGGCACCTCAGTTCTTAACAAATAACAGTATTGAGTTGACAGGTTAAAATAAACCAGAGAGAAAAGGTCTGTTGCACTTTTTATTTGAGACACACCTCCACCCCGGGGTGATCTTTTTAAGGAAAAAAAAAAAAAAGATTTTTACAACAATCGGTTGTCCTTTTCTATGAAGTAGATTTCTGATCTGACAGTGTTGTTTTGTGCGGTCTTAGCCTCTGCAGAAAGTTCCACCTGGAAGATGGTGACATTTTTACTCCCTTTTCACTCCCTTTTTGGGGCTAATCGGTCACCCTTTTGTAGTTCAGCCCCACGAAGGCCAGAGGGAGGGGGTTGGCGCAAGGAGCATCCCAACCAGAAATTTTTAACTTTTTTTAATTTTTGATTATTAATCCCCTTCTGCTGTGGTTTATGTTGTCCGTTTTTAAATTTTTTTAAATTGTTTTTTTTAACTTTTACTTTTTACCTCTTGTGTATATGTAGCAAATTTATAGGGAAATATGTACTTTATGGAATAAATTTTAAAAACTAAAATATATTTTATTTTAAAGTAACGGACCTTTAATCTTACGCAGCTAAATTACTGATTATATATTTGCTGAGCTGACTTAAGGGTTCAGAAAATTGTATCAAGAGTTTTATTTTTTGACTCCAAAGCCTTCTTAATAAAGTCTTTTTATGACATGCGAGCTCTTGGCGTGGTGTGGGGCCGTGGGCATGGGAGGTCTGAGGGGGAGGGACTCAGACTCGGCTCCTCACCTTTCATCTTCCCGATACAGGAATTTGGCTCAGGGCGCCCCCATTCCAGGCTCTGCTGCAAGCCAGGTGCTGTGCCTGTTCCAGATGAGGACGTCGGGTCCCTCAGGAAAGCGGGTCCACCAGGCTAGGGGCCACCGCGTCCTTGAGGTCTGCCAACCATGGGGTCAGTTAAGGCCACTGTGGAGGTGGCGGTGCCAGACTGTCTCTTGGGGCACCTGCCCAGCTCTGGTGTGTCATGGGGTTTCCAGCCCTCAGGATGAGATCCACCTGTGCTGTGCAGATGGGGATACTGAGGTCTGATAATCTGCCCCCTGGGTCCTGTCACCTCCTAGTCCCAAAAGGATGTCTGAGCGATGAGCCACAGGCATCCCCCATTCACCTTACGTCTAGTTGGAACCGGGCCATAGGGCCGCCGGACACAGTTCAGGGCCAGGTTGGCCTGGGGGTGAGGACGGGGTGGGGGTGGGCAGGAGGTGGGGTCATCAGTAGTCGGGTGCCGCCTGAGTTCCGAAGGAGGGGAGGAAGCTCTGGAGTTGAGGTGGGGGGGGCGGTGTGGAATATGGTGACAGGGAGAGGCCTGAGGACAAGGGTCTTCACGGGCTGCTGGCCTCAAGAGTGAGGGATGAAGAGGGGTCTAGGGGACAGCTCACTTGGAAAGCTAGGAAGGCACAGTGGAGCTGAAGGGCTTCCAAGAAGAGGCAAGGAGCTTGGGACGACAAAGACAGAAAAAACACAGACAGGGAACCCCAAGCGCAATGTACCCAGTGGGTGTCAGTTGCATCAGACCCTCTGGCTGAGGAGTGGAAGCCCCTGAAGGGCTGACCCTGTCCAGGGCTCCAGGGCACGGGTAGGTCTCAGGAAGAACCACACACATGAGGGGTTCCAGCTCAGCCCTGCCTGGAACTTCCTCATTTGTAAAATGGGGCGCTCGAAGTCCGCATTCCCAACTGGTGAGGCTCAAGGGGGTTGAGTGGGTTGAATCGTGGCCCCCACAAGATACATCCCCCAGAACCTGTGATTGGGACTGTATTTGGGAAAAGGGTCTTTGCAGATGCAAAATTAAGGCTTTTGAGATGAAGTCATCCTGGGTTGGGGTGGCCCGAAATTCAATGATGAGTATCCTTACAAGGGACGAGAAGAGAGACAGACCTGCAGAGGGAGATTTCCAACTCAGATATGCAAATAGCCATGTGACAAAGGGGAAAAGACCAGAGCGTTGAGGCCACAGGTCAAGGAAAGCCTAGAGACCCCAGAACCAGGAAGAGGCAGGAAAGACCCTGCTCTGGAGCTTGGGGGGGAGCATGACCCTACCACATCTTGGTTTTGGGCTTCTGGCCTCCAGAACGGTCAGGGGGAAAATACCATTTTTTTTAAAGCTGCCCACTCTGTGGTAATTTGCTCTGGCGGTCATGGGAGACCGGTACAGGTGGGTGGGCGGAGCTTACCTGGCCCCGCCCAAAGTTCAGCGGGGAGTTGGACCTGGCTGCCAGGGCCCCAGGTGACTGCAACAGGCTATGGGTGGAGGCAGCACAGAGGCGAGCTGGGGAGACCACAGAGGGAGGGCAGCCCTGAGGACCGAGGGGCCAGGATGGGTGGGAGTGAGTTCTCGGGAAGGAGGTGGGGGCTGCAGCCCAAGTCAGGGGTCCAAATGGAGTGGGCACTATGGCAGGGTGCAGGGGTCTGGGGTCCGCAATGAATTGAGGCACATCTTAGGTCGGCGTTGCCTCTCGACAGCCCAGGTGAGTCAGTTTGTCAGTATGCTGCTGTAATTTAGGGAGAGAAAAGCACCTCAAAGCTACCCTGGATAGCCGGGAGCTCAGCAAGGGACACAGAATGAGGATGTGGCTGGATGACTGGCCACAGGAGAGTTGAGCACAGGGCTTAGGCCCAAATACAGTCTGGCCAGAGCGCTCTCAAGGGGTTTCTGAAAGACGCGATAGTAAATGTTAGTGGGGCCCCAAATCAGGGGGTGGGGCTGTCACCCCTGTGGTCTGAGGATGCGCTGTCCTAGGACTTTCTAGAAACATCTGTGGGTTGTGCTCTATCCCTGCTGGGGGCTTGTGAAGCTGATAAGAGGAAGGCTGGAGCTGCTGAGGCCCTCAGGGAGGGCCGAGAGGTGGCCAGAGATACTTATTGGAGTTTGCTGTTTGAGGTTCTGGATTCGGTCGTGTCTGAAGACAGCCCATTCACTCTCTCAGCTATGAGCGCCAATAAGCCCTCCTTCTTTGTTTAAGCCACTGAGAGTTGGAGTAACTCAAACTCATAACCACCTACAGGGATCACATCCCTGGCCAGGAAGGTAGGAAGCATTTGTTTGTTTTTTTGCACCAAAAACAATTATCCTATGCAAATAGTTTCTCCATACCTTGGCATACACAGGGATGTGGAAGGCTGAGGCCTGGCTAGTGTCCTGGATGCAAGCTCTCACTCCTTTGTCTCTTGTTTCTGTTGGTTCATGGACTCAAGCACCGCCTACCTCATCCCTGGACCCTTCCCTGTAAAAGAAGAAAGCTACACTGGCTCACACTGGACTTTAGCAGCCAACAGAATTTAAATATAAATAGCCACATGTGGTTGGTAGTTCCTGTACTGGACGGCAACCCTCTAGAACTTTGTGCAGTGATGAGAAGTTTCTAGATCTACACAGGAGCTACCAGCCACATGTGGTGACTGAGCATGATAGGTGGCTTGTGCAATTGAGAGATTGAATTATTTTATTGCTGTTTAATGTAAATTTATATAGCCCCAAACAAAACAGGGACACACCTAGGGAAGCTCTTTGCTCTGCAGATCTTGAAATATTTTTAGAGCCAGGGAATCAGGACAGCTGCCATGCCCTAAGATTGTTAAAAGAGATGACAGTGGGGTGTGCAGGGTGGAGGCCCCTGAGCAGACGAAGGCCCCAGAGGAGCAGCAGCACATGGACTGTTAGGTCGGCAGAATAACTGCCCCCAAAACCACCTTATGCCTGGTCCTGGGACCAGGGAACATGTTTGTTACCTCACATGGTAAAGGGACTTTGAAGATGGGATTAAGTCAAGGACTCTGAGATGGTGATGACCGTGGATTCCCTGGGGGGCCCAGTGTCCTCACAGGGTCCTCACAAGAGGGTGGCAGGGGGGTCGGGGTCAGAGACGGGAGAGGCTGCGCTGTTGGCTGTGAAGACGGAGGAAGGGGCCACGGGCCAGGGGTGCAGTGCCTCTAGAAGCTGGAAAAGGCAGGAAATGATTCTCATCTGGAGGCTCTGGAAGGATCGACCCTGCCCAGACCTCGAGTTTAGGATTGCTGACCTCCAGAACTGTCACAGAATACATGTGCATTGTTTTAAGCCACCAAGTCTGTGGTAATTTGTTACAGTAACAATATAAGACTCACAAAGCTGTGTTAAAAGTTGCCCCAACTCCTTGGAGAAAGAGCTGAAACACGCTCAAACCCCCTACCCCGAAGGATGGTGACATGTCCAAGAGCACAGGAGCCACCAAATGAAACAGCTTCCAGTGGCAGAGCTGGAGCAATTCATCCTAAAAGACACAAGATGCCCAGTTACTTTAAATTTTAGATAAACGAGTCATTTTTTAGTACAAGTTTATCTCAAATATTGCATGGGACATCCTTCTACCTAACAACAATGTGTTTTTTATCTGAATTTCAGGTTGAACAGGGTGTCCAGGATTTTTGCTAAATCCAGTAACTATGAGGAGTGGAGGGAGGGGAAAGGGTAATCCACTGATTCACGGGGTGAAGTATAAGCCAGACAGCTCCCCTCTGTGGTTCCTGAATTCTGCTCTGGCAGGTAAAGGAGGACAAAGCCAACAGAACATGGGGGACAGGGGAGGGGATGTTAGTGAATGGACCAGAAATAATTCCACAAATATTGATATATATGGATTGAGCACCTGGGTTACTGCCACAGCCAGCAGTGGGTTTAATCAGGGGCAGCAGCTGCAATGAAGCCCAAAACCCCCGAGCACATTCGCCCTCTGCACTGCCACCAGCCACGCTACCCCTGGGCTGGCCCCACCGGCAGCCAGGATGGACCACCAAAATACCCTGTACTCTGTGGCCACCGTGTGGCAAAAGCTGCACATGACAACCTGCTCACAACAGCAGTGGTGCCTGGAACAGCTAGGGCACTCAGCATCATCTGTGTCCAGTGAGGTTAAACAAGTCCGAGCCGTTCCTATGTCTCTTTCCCGCGCCTCCTCTCCTTTGCTTCATAGCAACTGCATTTCCCTACAAGGATGCTTAGTAAATATGTAGCCACAGTGTCACAATCAGACTTAAAATTTTAAGCGCTAATTCCTCCTTCCCGCCCCCGTTTTACTGAGATATAAGCAACATACAGCAATTTATAAGTTTAAGGTACACAGTATAATGATTTGACTTGCAACATTAATTGCTTAATAGCAAAAACCTGGCTGGTATTTATATGGCATCGGTTGTTATTTTTTTATTATTTACAGCTGGTTTGTTTTTCTCTCTATCTAAACACAGGCCACCTTGGCATTGCTATGTCCTCATCTGTGTGATGTAGGCCCCTGGTTCCCAAACCTGACTGCTCCTCAGAGTGGATAAGGGGCTTTAGAAACACCAGAAGCTGGAGCCCCTAATTCTGCTGTAATTGGTCTGAAGTTTTTAAAATTGTGCTAAAAGTCACATAAGGTAAAATATACCATTTTAATAATCTTAAAGTGTAATTCAGTGACGTTAAGTACATCACAATGCAACCATCACTTCTATCTCATTCTAGAATGTTCTATCACCCCAAAAAGAAGCCCTAGCCCTGTAAGCCTCATCCCTATTAGCAATTA